CATACAAAAATAAGCACTGAGCCGGATTTGACCTGTGGGCCATAGTTTGCCAACCGCCTAGCTGAGTGTTTGGTATTTAACATTCTTTTTGACTCTCAGTTGTTTTTTAATTATAAAGGTAATTTATTCTCATTATAAGAATTCAGTTGTTCTAGAAATGTATGAATTAGAAATGAATGTTATTAATCCTAAGATGTCCCTATAATCAATTTTTCCCATTTTACCTCCAAAGACAATTACTTTCATGTGTATATGTACATGTATGCATGACATACATCTTCACACACAATAATATTAGAACATGTAATTTTAAAGCTGGGAGAGATCTGTAACTCATTTTCTGAGAAGCAACTATAGGGGATGGTGTCTTTTTGTTGTTGTTGTTGTTTTACTCTATAAATAAATAGGCTATTGCAAACTAGCCTGAAAATCCAGTCACCACTTACAAGATTGTTTTTATGGGAAAATCTATTCTGAACTTTCAAAAACCAGCTTACAGGTGAACATTTCTAGTTTGAGGACTCGCTACGTGTGTTTCTATGTCCTCTTTTCTTATGCCAGCATTTCCCCAAATGGATGGCATGAGATGTTAGCAGTATCTAAAGTGGAGGAAGCTGATAAGTCAGGAGACTCATGCCTGCAAAGACTGGCTGAAAAGTCCCTGGGAGCCCTGTGCTGAAGAAGCCAGAAGTCCAGCTCAGTGATAGCCTCCAAGTTCTGCCTGGAAAAATGTGAGCCAGTGATTAAATCCTGGGTACTTAAGAGCCTGTTAATCATTCCTGAAATTCTTCAGTTTTGTCTCTGCCATCACTTTCTTTTTCCCAGCATACTCTTGATGATTTATCTGGTTATTAATTTTTCTCCTAAATTAGGGGCTCCTGTTTGTTGTTCTGAGTCATCCTTGTGCCAAAGAGAGCGAGCTGTTGGGCAGCCCCGTGTTTCAGCTGATTGTGATTAACCCAAAGACGACCCTGAGTGTGGGCGTGATGCTCTACTGTCTTCCTCAAGGGCAGGAGGCAAGTGTGTGGCTGCCGTTCAGTGAGTGTGACATTTTGAAAGGCACGTGTGCAAATAAAAAAACCAGATTTTTCTGTGTCACGGACATGAACGGAAAGATGAAATACTACAGATAGTGGTAGAGAATGTTAAGAAGTAAGGGGAAGCGTGAAGTTTAGTAGATCTGAACCAAACCTCAGATCCCCTACATCCGGAGCCCCGCCAGTATGGCACTGGATAGATGTGTTTGTTATGTGTATTCAAACCCTGTTTTTTCCCATAACGAAAACATTTCAAATACAAAGTAATTAATATTCTCCACAAGCAAACAAACAAAAATTTGAAGGAAGTTTTAAATGTACTTAGGGAGGTATCTTTACTTTGAAATCTGACTGAGCCTCCGTCGTGTAGGCAGTTGATATATATCTGCTGATAAATATCTACTGACTGGTGAGAAGGTCTGTTTATCAGTGACACAGTTATTGGCATCCCAGCAGTTTTCTGAGCTATGTAGAGTTTGTGCTCATCTTACAGGCCAACCAAGCAACATCTGAACCTTGTCATTCCCAAAGCCTACCTTTATTCATGTTTGAAAACAGACCTAGTAAATCAAGATCACAAGGTTTAGCTTTAATAGGATAAGGAACCTTGCTAGTTACAATGTGTATTTCTGTGTTTCTGTGAGTCTTGTGCAGAGCTTGCTGGAAGATGCGTGTTCTAAAAGTCTCTCTCTCTGTGTACTTGTCTGCAAATGTTCTTAGCCCAGCAAGAACCTCGGAACTAACATCTGTAACATTTGCTTGCATAGAACTTGTTTTCTTGGATACGAAGAGAGGACCGTAGTCATTGGCCTAGAAATCGAGGATACAAATAACTGCTTGGTCAGACATTTCCTTTGTCATTTTTCAAACCCATGTGTTTAGCGAATCTGGAAAGCCTGTTTGGTGCCAGTCCTGTAGGAAGCACTGCTGTGTCTAATCTAATGGAGGTTAGAAGAGAAAACCAGCGACCGCTGTTCAGTGCACAGAATGCCGTGAGGCTGGCACTGTCTGGAAACACAAAGGATGGAGGGGCACCTTAACTGGCAGAAGAGGATGGATAGAGACTGTCAAGGAAAACTTGATGGAGTTTCAAAAGATGAGCTAGGATTCAGCTCCACGAAAGTTGGGTATGAACCAGGGATAAAAAATATCATTCAGTTCACTCAAATATTCACTGAAGACTGAGTATGTGCCAGGCTCTCTGCAAGGTGCTGGTAATATGGCAGTGAGGACTAACAGTTAATTTTTACTAAGCACTTCCTGTCTGTTAGTTGCATAAAAAGCTCAGTGCAGTACCTATTTCATTAAACTTCACAGTAATCCTATTGAGTGGGTCCTCATATAATCACATCCCTGTTCTACTGATGAAGTTAAATAACTTGCCAGGGTCACACATGTCTTACTCTGTTAGAATTCAAACCCAGGTAGCTGACTGCAGAGCCCGGTCCTAAAAAGGCAACCAGATTTTTGCTTTATCATGTTTCCATTTTTCTGGGACAGACAGCCACCAAATGTGGAAGTAGGATAAACTCACACAGTGGAAAGCGCTGTGAAGATAAAAGAGGTGACGTGATAGGGAGCAGAGCGTATGCGCGTGTGCACTCTCGAGATTGCTGATTAGGTGGCCCCTTTCTATGGAGGCGACAGGCCGGAACGATGGCCAGAACCTAGCCAGGCTAAGATCTGGGGTGAGCCTGCCAAGGAGAGGGAAGAGCAAGAGCAAAACTAAGTTTGGCTGGTTGAAGAGTGGAAGGAAGGCCACTGGGAGCTGGTGTGCAAAGGTACCAGGGGGCATCAGAGATAGCCAGGGCCTGCACTGATCATGGCCAGCCGTCCTAGGATTGCAAATATAAGCATTGATATTTCCAAGTATTTTTGTTGTTCTTGTTGCTTTGGGGAGCATGGTTTTGACCTTTTTTTTTTTGATATGTGATTTGTCTCGTCTCTGCTTGATGTTAGGTTCCTGGAAGGTGACGTGAAAGATCATTTTGCCGCAGCAGTACTTACTTCTGGAACAATTGCCATTTGGGACTTACTTCTGGGTCATTGCACTGCTCTCCTTCCCCCTGTCTCTGACCAAAATTGGTCCTTTGTTAAATGGTCAGGTACAGATTCTCATTTGCTAGCTGGACAAAAAGATGGAAATATATTTGTGTACCGCTACTAATAAGATAGGGTAAGGTGGAAACACGGTGTTCTGGATATTTTTGGCCTCTTTGTACTTCTTGGAGTTGTAACTCTAAAGAAGACTGTCTGAAAGGTATTTAAAATAATTACTTGTATTCATTCAGACTGAAAAGTCCGATGGTGGGGGCACTACTGATCTTGAATGTTTATACTTACTTTGGGGGAAAGGGGTTTGGGATTGATTTTTGTAATTCCTCACATTTGCACATTTGCTTTTAAAAGTGTACAGAAAGCTTCAAATGTTAATAAATATTTATTTTGATACATCCTGCTTGGCATATTTTTTTCCTATCCTATAAAGATCATTTTCAGAAACAAGAACTAATTTACATCTAGAATACTTAAGTCCATGACGCTTGCAGAGTAGATTTCAGTTGACTTAGTATACTAATACGCAGTATACCTTTTATGTTGCTGGTAATACTTTATTTTCACATACCTCCTAAAAGCAATACAAAGCCTATTAAAAATCCTAATTTAGAAATGCTGTTATTCTTTTTCATTCTCACGTGCATTTTTGATACCAGTGCCAACATTATTACCAGAGTCATGTTGGGTCAGCAACACAGCTGTACTGAGTATATCATCTTCATCTTTGCCTAAGTGGCTTGAGAGACAGCAGTTTTTAAAGTCCTAATCTGCTGGTATCATTGGAAGTTTTATCCCAGTTTACAAGTATTTATTGGCCTATCTTGAGTATACTGAGAGTATGTATTCATGATCTATATAACTATTTGCACTATTACTTCTCTTTTAAAGATACCTTTTATGATATTACTATGGTGGTTTTTGCTAACTTCATTACTGCCCTTTGATTCGTCTGCATAAAAGGTTTCTCTCCTATACTAATTCTGTCCTCACTTTCTCTAACTTCAAGTGAAAGAATACATTGCTGGCACATCATAGATAATAGAGAGCTTTTCATAAAGACTTAATTTACTCAGGAACCCTGAGAAACATGTTGTCTTGATTTTAATAGTTAAGAAAACTGAGTAGAGCTAAGTCAGTAACAGTAG